TTCATGTGCTTGTTTATAGATAACAATAATTAAAATTATGATCATTGCTTACTGGAGGAAAATTTAACACATAAAGTTGCTTTCTTGTATATTGTTTGCTGAAAGTGAGGAGGACTTAAAGCATTTGTTGCAGAAGATAGAAGAATACCGTTTTCCATATGGGTTGCATCTCAATGTCAAGAAAACAAAGATTCTTACCACTGGACCAATAAATAGGCAACATTATGATAGATGGATAAAAGATCGAAACTGTCAACAACTTCATCTTTCTTGGATCCACAATTAGCACCCTTGGTACCAGCAGTCAGGAAATTGGGAAGCATGTTACACTGGGAAAGTCTGCAGTTAGTGACCTCTCCATAGTGTTGAGGAGTAATGATATCAGCTTGAGGACTAAGGTGCATCTGACTGAGGCCATGGTCTTTTCTGATCACTTGCTTTGCATCTGAGAGCTGGAATAAGGATGACAGTAGAAGAACTGATGCTTTTGAATGTGGTGCTGGAGAAGAATGTTGAACATCCCATGGGCAGTCAAAAGAACAAACAAATAAGTGTTAGAGAGGGTACAACCAGAGTGCTCTTTGGAGGCATAGATGGTGAGGGTTCATCTTGCATACTTTAGGCATGTTGCTAGGAGGAGTTATTCCTTGGAAAGGGACATGATTCTTGGAAGGGTGGAGGGTCAGTGAAGTACAGGAAGACCCTCAACCAGATGGATTGACAGTGACTGCTGCAATAGGCACTGAAGTGAGTGATGTCAGTAAGTGTGAGGATGGCACAGGATAAGACAGAGTTCAGAGCTGTTGTTCAGAGGGTCACGTGGGTCATATTCAACTTGATGACTCCTAACAACAACAACACACTTACAAAATGACAAGGAGAACATCTTTCTTCCTTAAAGAATAGACAGTGTTTCTATAAGATGTGTGTCCAGATACCAGGAAAATTTTTGTTCTTAAAACAATCTTTATATTAGAAATATGATTGAATGCTCATATACTAATTTATTTTTTTCAACATTTGCAATTTTCTCTTTTGTTAGATGTGGGAGATGAAGTATATGATGATGTGGATTCCTCTGATTTCCCAGCTCCACCAGCAGAGACAAGGTAATCAAAATGTTTTCATTAGTATGCAGTAATTAAAAGCAGACTGCTTAAGAAATTTCTGTGATGTGAACATGTTCTGAGTGTGATAATGTACACTCTCTTTCCTCTAAAGCTGTGTTACCATTTGACCTCAGCTCTTACCTTTTTGTTGGGTTTTCTATATAGAGATCCATTCCAGCCTCCTGAGGCTGCTTTCTCTCTCTTCTCTGTTTCCTTCCCTCTCCCTCACACCTAATTCCCTCATTCTGCTACAGGATTCCTATTAACCCTCCCTCTGCTCTGTGTCTCCTTGATATCTCCATTCATTTATTCATTCACTCCTATGTTTGTGAAAATTGGACAGTGAATTAGGAGCAACAAAGAGAACTGATGACTGAACTGTGGTGTTCATTGAAGAGCACTGACTGTGCTATGGATGGACAAAAGAGTAAACAAAACTACTTGGAAAATGTATAGCCAGAGTTTTCCTTAGAAGCAAAGATGATGAGCCTTCATCTCACGTAATTTAGGAATGCTTTCAGGAAGAGCTAGTTCCCGGCAAAAGGCATCTGGTAAAGCAAAGGAGCTGTGAAAGAGACCTTGACGAAATGGACTGACACAGTGGTGCCAGCAATGAGCTTGAGCACAACACGATTAGGTTTTTTTTGTCTTGTTGTGCATAGAGTGTCTACATTATGAAGTCAAATTGACAGCACATAATAACAACAACTGTGCTATCTTCTATTATTTTTACTTTTTCTAAAACCTTTTTGTTTTAGATAGACTTGTTTGTGGGCATTTCTATTGTAAAAAACCTGTATGGGGATCTAAGGGGGTAATGGGTGGGAGCAGAAGGATGAGAATGGGTAGGGGTGAAATCACAGGGTTTCACAATTTGGTGGGTAGAGGGAATGGGTAAAAGAAATGAGAAAGACCAGCAGGAACCAGAAAAGACAGAGTAATGGTGGGCATGGTCCAATGGTGAGTAATTTTATTTTATTTTTTTACAAAGAGATTATCTTTTTCATTTGTGGGTTTCCCATTTAGGAATAGGGGCACAGACTTTTTGGCTTGGCTGTTTCATGCTGAATAGCGGCTTTGAGATGAAGGGTAGGGGAGTCGATTTTAACACTTTACTGGTGGTCTTGAGTTGAAGCTACATGACTTCTTGTTCAGTTAGAACATTTTCATGATGTTTCCTGCTCTCTGGACTTCAACATGTTTGTGTGGGTGAGTCCAGTGGGAGTGGCTGGCCAAACTTTGAGGTTCCATCCACCTTCACTTCCTTAGCCAGCAGCTTTGATTCTGAAACCTGGCTCAGGGTTCAAGTTCCAGAACAAGACTCAGTGTTCAGGTTACCTATAGGAAAAGGAGCAAACCTAGAGAGAACAAACCTGTGAATTACAATGAAAAGGGCTTTAGAGGTGTTACTTACAGGTGTACTGGAGGAGGAGATATAGGAAAGTGGTTTAGACAAAGTTACTCATATACACCAGGCGACTCTTCAGGGGTCCAGCAGCACTCCCCTCCCAGGCAGCACTCCCCTCAGGCAGCTCCTCTCACCACCCAGAGGTCCGAAAGGTAACTCTCCTCAGGGGCCAAGCAGCACTCCCTTCCCTTCCCAGGCAGCGGCAGCGCCCCCCAGGGGACGGGTGGCAATCCCCCTAAAAAGCCCTTCTGAAGTAAGGACCTGTGCCTTACCAGCAGCCTTGGCCAAGGATAGAACTTCTGGCTCATTGCCCCTTCCTCTGAGCCAAGTGGTCCAATTGTAACTCAAAGTAGGTATTATTACTTTGCCCTTCAGGTCTTTTGTTCATAGTGTCGCTATGAGTAATTCTCAACTCAACAGCAATCAACAATAGCAACCTTCCACAAATGGAGAAGGGCCTTCCAGAGTAGTGAACAGACCCACTCATGGTTGAAAATGTAATAAAGGCAGTAGAACAAGGACTCAAACCAAGGTCTGAAGGCAGGCTGAGAGGTGATGAGCTCTGTGCTGTGCTCGAGTTGATCATCTTTCATCTTTCTCTGCAAGCAAAATTCTGCTGAAGATCATTTTCAAAACGGCCAGAAGGATACATTCAGACTACACATGCCCCAGCCAGCCATGCATGCAGGGCAAGACTTTTTAGTTTTGTCTCAACCTTCATCTACCCTTAATAGGAAGATTGGGAGGTTTTAATGGGAATAGTATAGGTGTTTTTTACAATATACACATTTTATAAAAACATCAGATTCTCAAAGACTCCAAGTGTTTAAAACTGTTCTAGAGTGAGTAGTGTTTTCTTCAGCACATCTCAAGTTTCCATTTCATTTTCAGGCTACAATTGTGTGAAAACCTGTTAAGATAGTTGATACAAAAGAAGTGTTTCTGAAAATTCTTTTTAAATGGAAAATGTTAGTGGAATGCTTTATTATACTCTAATGTATAAGAAATGGTCAGATATAAAAAATCCTCTTGATATGCAAGCTAGAGTATCTCTAGCATTGTCAACAAAAAAGAAAGATATTTAGGAATAAAGAGATCTGTATTTGACTAGTTAAAAGATGAAAGTAACATGAGTAAAGTGCAGTGACGTTCTTCTGAGCTGTGCTGGTAAAACAAAAGATTGTATGAGTGAACTTCACATGTCTATTTTTGTTGCCATCACAATAAAACTCATCTTAGTGAACTAAAGAACGTGTCTAGATCAAAGCCTCTGAGCAAAAAATCCACGATTCCTATGTTAAGACCAATTTCTAAAGGTAAAGCAAACATGCAAGAAGAAAAGAATAACTCATTTCCTTTTCTGTTGAAAGGAAAAATAGAATGTTTTCAATAATATGTTCAAGTTTTAATACACCTCATCATTGAGAACTCAGTTCTTCAAGTTCTCCTCTTGACAGCTTCTACGGCATTTCTCTGTTTGATGTGACTGTGGAAATGTCACCACATTCTACAAAACAACCTTTCATGGCCCTGAAATAACCTATTGGCCTTTTGCTTTGCACAAAACAAATTTCAGCCGATTCTTTTTTATATGGTGTATGTTGCCTAAAACAAAACGAAAAATGAGCTGCCTTCAAGGCAACATCATAGTAGATGAAAAAAAGATTGAAACTATCAACGATTTAATCTTACTTAGATTCACAGTCAATATTCTTGATATCAGCAGTTGGGAGATCAGGAGACATATTGCAATGAGAAAGTTTGCAGTCAGGGAACTCTGAAAAATGATGAAGAGGGGAGCTCTGGTGACCTAGTGGCAAGAAGCTGCACTGCAATGCCAGAGGTGCATGGTTTGAATCTACCAGATGCTCTGCTGGAGAAGGAGGGACAATATCCTCCTGTGCCAGTCAGATCTGATTTGATGGTATACACACACAAAAATAATTTAAAAAAATAATAATTTTTTAAGTGATGAAGAGCAATGATGTCAGTTTGAAGACTAAGGGCTTCTCAATCACCTGCTATGCATCAGAGAACTGCACAATAAAGGATGACAGAAGAATAATTGATACCTTTGAAATGCGGTGCTGGAGAAGAATATTGATTATCCCATGGACATCCAAAAGAACAAACAGCTTTGTCTTGGAGAAAGTGCAGCCAGAGTGCTCCTTAGAGGCAAAAATTATGAAGCTTTGTCTCATATACTTTGGGCATGTTGCTAGTAGAGGTTATTCCTTGGAGAGGAACATCATGCTTGGGAACATGAAGGGACAGTGAAGGAGAGGAAGATCCTCAAGCCATGGATTGATATAGTTACCGCAGCAATGGGATCGAGTGTGTCAGAGATTGAAATGATGGCACAGGACAGGATAAGTTTCAAATCTACTGTTCATAGGATTGCTATGAATCATACCCGACTCGGTAGCACCTAACAACAACAACATGGTATCTATACAGCAACTTGGCAGTAGCTGGCACCCATTTGAAATAATTCTAGTTCCTAATAATTAAGCAAGAGCATTGATATTTTTTCAAAAGATTCCCAGATGATTCTAAGTTTAACCTCAGTCTCTAGAACACTGTCCTCTCTTTTCTCACCTCACAAAAGGATTTTAGGAAGCTCTGGTGGCCTAGTGGGTAAGGAATTGCATTGCCAACCCAAAGCTTGAATCCATTGCTCATTGAAAGAAAGATAGGCAATCTCTTCCTTTGTGATTTATAGCTTCTGAAAACCTGCTAGTGGGGGAGCTCTGGTGGCCTAGTGGCAAGAAGCTGTACTGCAATCCCAAAGGTACATGGTTCGAATCCACCAGATGCTCTGCCGGAGAAGGAGGGACATTTCCTCCTGTACCAGTCAGATCTGATTTGATGGTACATGCACAAAAAATAATAAACTAGAATTTTAAAAAAATGTCAAAAAAACCAAAAAAACCTGCTAGTGAGTGGGTTTGTCTTAGTAATAATGAGTTATGAGTTGAGTTCGAGGGCTTTAGTCCAGTTGGTATTTTTTAGATTAATCGTAATTTTAACCATATTAAGATGTTTCCTAGAGGGTTTTTTAATTAATAAATCTTTTAATTGATCTAAACATTTAGATTCTCAGATCCCACATGCAGTTGCACATAAACCATAGAATAAGATCAACATTATTTATTAGCCATTTTCCCTAAGCTGCTTCAGGTATCTAAAACGTTAACTTTTACCAAAAGTGTTTCCATTAGTCATCATTTTATGACTCATACCTTGACTCTTTGAAAGTTATATGGTAAAATCAGCATTTAAATAAACTTTGTAAATCATTAAACCAGTATTTGAATATTCTCTTTTCAAGGCCATTTACTTCTCTGTGACGGGTTTGGGGGGTGGGAAAGGTGTTTGAATGATAGATGGGAAAACATCTTAAAACTGATACATCAGCTGTGTTTAAACTACAAATCTGTGATTTCCTATGGTTCCATATGATAGATCATGTCTTCAGTTTTATTTATAACCTGTGCTTTACTATGTCTCTTCTATGTCTTAAAATGTCATTGTTTGTTACAATGAATATTACTAGATTTCTAAGAGAAAACCTTAAATAACAATAAAATTGAGGGGAGGAAAAGGTGCAACAGAAAGAAAAAGAATTTTTTTTTCATTGTATATGTTAAAAAAACTAGAGACAAAGGGGCCCAAAGGAAGAAGTTCGAGCTGCTCTGAAAGCACCAGGGAAGAATAAAAATTGAGCAAAAACTTAATTTTCTAAATTATCTATTAGACCCTGTTCTTTTCATTTTGAGGCAAACTGTTAATCTGTTAATTGTTTTGTGTGTGTTCCTTCATCCTAGTCAAGGAACCCACCTTGGAAAGGCTAAAACAGAAGAAAAAGACCCAAAGAAGCTTAAAAAACAGGAGAAAGAAGAGAAAGACTTCCGGAAAAAATTTAAGGTAAGTTAGATATAAACATAATACACTAATGATGGGCTCATCCAATAGCTTTAAATACCAAAATATACCTTTTTTCTTTTATTATTTTAATTTCTTACAACATATTCTTCCCATTTATTTTTTTCTCATTGATTCATTTTCGCACATTTTCCTCCCTGCCCAGCCCCCCCCCCAAGTTAGCTTTTCTCTTTGAAAAGAAAAAACAAATTATTTCATTGTTATACAATTGCCCACCACCCCACCCCTACCCACCAGTCCACAGTCCACTTTACTCTGCATTTCTTTTTCTGGAATCTTGTCATGAAGTTAATACCGAATCATATCTTCCTTTTAGCAGCTCTCTCCCTCATCTGTTTCAATGCAGTATACATTATTTATGCAATTTTTCTTAAGGGCCCGATGTTAGTCTCAATTTACAACATTGGCACTATTTGTCCTTTTATGACTGAGATATTTCACTCAGCTTAATGTCCCCCATAGTCACCCATTTTGTATGATATTTCATGAGCTCCTTGTTTTTCAAAGAAACATAATATTCCATTGTGTGAATATACCACAGCTTCTCTATCCATTTGTTTCTTGATGGGCACTTGGGTTGTTTCCAGTGCTTTGCTATTGTGAACAAAGCAACAATAAATATGGGTGTGCATACATCTGCTTGGATGGCACTTCTGCTTTCTTTAGTGTATATTCTCAGTAGTGGAATTGCTGGGTCAAATGGTATTTCTATTTGCAATGTTTTGAGAAAGCACCATACTGCCTTCCATAGTGATTTCACCATTTTACACTCCCACCAACAGTGAATAAGGGTTTTAAAGGAATTGCTAATATCACTATTTATCCTTTTCATTGCAACTGTGTTACTTTCTCTAAAATTTAATGTAGATTTAAATTGGTTTTATAGAAAATACAGTGAATGTGTATATCTGTGTACATACTATGTTAATAATCTATGGGGAAATAGCTGATCTTTGAATCTCTTATCAAAAGTAATCTAAAAACAATCCTTAGAGTAGCCTGCTGATATTGTGAATATTTTTTCATCTTCTTATCTGTTGAAAAAGTGGGCTATTTATTTAGCAAAGAACTTTTAATAAATCTGTCAATAAAATATTTTAATACAATGCATATTTATCAGCTAATAATTTAATGTCTTTCTTTTCCAGTATGATGGTGAGATTAGAGTCCTATATTTAGCGAAAGTTGCACCCTCCCTCAGCTGTAAAAAGTGGGGGCACAGAGACCTACAGGTGAAACCTGGCGAAGCCCTTGAAGTTATACAAAACACAGATGACGTCAAAGTTCTCTGCAGGAATGAAGAAGGGAAATGTGAGTTCATTTATGCTCTGTGGTTGTGATGTGCTGAAATCAGTGGCACTTTATTTTAATCTCCTTTTTCAATTACACAATTACTGGTTATTCTCTCTCTAGATATAGATAGAGATAGAGATAGATAGATAGATAGATAGATAGATAGATAGATAGATAGATAGATAGATAGATAGAGATAGAGATGAGCTAGAGATAGAGATAGAGATGATAGATAGAGATAGAGATAGAGATATTTAACAACAAAACCAGTACATCTATATTTGTGTACATGTAGACGCACATATATACTTTGACGACAAGGTAACACTAAAATACTGTTTCACAAATGCAGCTTGCAGACTATCTGCTTTTTAAAAAGCCTTGGGCCTGTTTTATAACAGTGGTATTATACAGTACTTGTATTTTTGTAGCTGAGATATTTCATTCAGCATAATGTCCTCCACGGTCACACATTTTGTATAATAATTTATGAGTTCTTTGTTTTTCAATGCTGCATAATATTCCATTGTGTGAATATACCACAGCTTCTCTATCCATTCATTTGTTGATGGGCACTTGGGTTGTTTCCAACTCTTTGCTATTGTGAACAAAGCAGCAATAAACATGGGTGAGCAGTTCTAGTTTCTTTAGGCTATATTCTCAGTAGTGGAATTGCTGGGTCAAATGGTATTTCTATTTGCAACATTTTGAGAAAGCACCATACTACCTTCCATAGCGGTTGCACCATTTTACACTCCCACCAACAGTGAATAAGGGTTCAAGTTTCTCCACAACCTCACCAGAATTTGTTGCTTGCTGCTCTGTTGAATTTTGCTATTCTGACAGGGGGATTGAGAGGAAACTAAGAAAAGAGGGCATTAATAATTTACACAGCATTGAAACAGACAAGGGAGAGAAAAGTATAAAAGGAATATATGATTAGGTATTATTGGTACGACAAGAGTCTAGAATAAGAGCTGCATAGTAAATTGGTCTGTGGGAGAGAATGTATAACATTGAAAGAAATTTTTCTAAAGAAAAAATGAACTGCGGGGCCAGGGAGAAAATGCGCAACAATGAGTAAATGGAAATCCAAGTTTGTTATAAACTTAGAATAAAATATTGATTTAAAAAAAGCCGTCTACAAGTTCAATGCAACTCCAATACATGTGTGAATGCCATTTGAAAAAAAAAAAAAAAAAGATTTGGCGTGTACTAAAATCCCAGTATATTGAGAGAGGTCATTGGAGTGACGGGTCATGAGCTCTGGGAGTCAGATGGAATCTGTGATCATAACATCTCCCCTGTTATTGTTATATACCATCGAGTTGAACCAACCCATTGCTGACCCTCCAGCAGGTTTTCAGAGGCAATTGCACAGGAAGAGATTGCCCATTATTCTCCCATGGAGCAGCTGGTGGGTTCAAACCACAGACTTTTTTGTTGGCAGTCCAATTCCTTACCACTAAGCCACTAGAGCTCCCTAACGTCTTTCCTAGTCTGCTCTTATGTGCTTTAAAGTAAAAACTGCTGTGCTAATGTAGTAACTCATGCTCACTCAGCCCTGGTTTTAAAATTGTGGAGCATATTTGACACCTAAAATTTCCACTTTTCCTACTTCACAAGTTTCCTTGGTTTTTCTCTCAGGGTCGGGTACATGCAACCTGTTCTTTCAAATAAATACAAGAGTCCCTGTCCTTATTTACTTTATCAGCTGATTACCACTGACAGATGGAGATATTTCTGTCAGATATTCAGTACATTTGTTTCATATGAAGTCCAGGGAAAAGTAATTGAAAATAAGGTTGCTATGAGTTGGAAGCAACTTGGCAGTACTAAATATTAACACATATTCTGGGTTGGATTGTCAATAAGGTGACTGATATTTATCATATTATTGTTTTTGTTGTTGTTGTTGTTATGTGTTGTCAAGTTGCCTGTGACTCAGAGCAACCCTGAACCTTGCCCTCTCCTAAGCCAACTTCACCATCTCCAACCCACTTGACCTGATTGCCACAGTTACTGTGTAAATACATCTCATCTTGGACCTTCCCCTCCTGCACTGACCTTCTACTCTTCCATGGATGATGTCCTTCTCTAAGAACTGGATTCTCCTGGCAACATGCTCAAAGTATGTGAGACAGAGATTCAAAATCCTTACCTCCCAAAAAAAGTTGTTGTTGTTGTTATGTGCCATCAAATCATTTGCGACTCATAGCGACCCTATGTACAACAGCCCTAAACCCTTCTCTATCCTGTGTCAATCACATGGCTTCTGACACACCCATCCCGATTACCCCAGTCACTGAATCAATCCACCTCATAGAGGGTCTTCCCCTCCTGCGCTGTCCCTCTACCTTACCAAGCATGACGTCCCTCTCCAAGGACCTGTCCCTCCTTACAACATGTCCAAAGTATGTCAGACAAAGCCCCAGAATCCTTGCCTCCAAGGAGTAGCCTGGTTTAACCCTCTCCAGGATGAATCTGTTTATTTTCCTAGCAGTCCAGGGTACATTCAATACTTTTCTCCAGCACCACAGCTCAAAGGCATCAATGCTCCTTCTATCTTCCCTAGTCATTGTCCAACTCTCTGATGCATAACAAGTGATTGCAAAGACTATGGCCTAAAAAAATATCCTTACCCCCAAGAAGCAACCTGGTTTCACTCTCTCCAGGATAGAACTGTTTGTTCACTTGGCAGTATACACATATATATGTCCGATACTCTTCTCCAGCATCAAAACTCAAAAGCATTGATTCTTCTTCTGTCATCCTTCATCATTGTCCAGCTGGAAAGGAATTATGCTCTTAATGCAAAGGCATGTGGTTCAAATCCACCAGCAATCCTGAGGAAGAAAGACAGGCAATCTCTTTCTGTGTGATTTTTTGTGTCTGAAAACCCACTGGAAGGTCAGCTCTGGCTTAGTTCCAACTCACAACAACAACAAAAACAATATTGATCATAGCTCTCCTTTATCCCTTTATCAACTTGATTATTTGCATGGAAACCATGGACTCAACATTTATTTTTGCTAATAAAAGTAAAGGTGCCTCAGGGACAGGAACTGAATCATAATTTTTAAGAAGTTATGTTCTACTAAAAGGGACACAATTTAAAAATAATAAAACACTATGACTCAAGAGTAGGGAATAATGGATCTACGGTTGTCATGGAGGAGGTGCAATTGACTTTGAAAAGGAGAAAATGGAATGAGGGAATGAAAGAAAGACGATCAGAGCAGTATAGTAGTAAGCTCACTGAAGGTGATTTGCAGCCATTAGTCGCAGGAATAGATGAACCAAAGCTCAGAGAAGAGGCTCCTATCTTCCCAGGAATCACTGGGCCTTAAGAATGTGGAAGCTGAGTTGGGGAAATAGCACAGTCTGCTATCATTTTCTGGAATCAAATGCTGTGGAAATGCACTGTTTCTAGGGATTTCCATGAATGGTATCATTATTTGCAATTGGCTAATTGACACAGTGACTGGAGGAATAGGGGCAGGTATGTCAGAGACAGATTGGCTCAGGAAAGAACAGGGTTCAGAGCTATTGCACACAGGGGCACTGGGAGTCACAGGTGAATCGACCACACATCACAACAACAATGGAGTTGTACTAAGTAATAGTATGAATGTGGGAGGGCTCCTGGTACATATTTTATGAAAGAAAAAGTCATAAAATTCTGGTAGAATATAACCATGAGCTGCATGTAATGTATTCATTCATCAAGTGCAACTGCACTGAATGATTTTACAGACCCATGCAAATCTGTTGCAGACCAAGTGCAACCAGATTGCTCTTGAGGGACAAGGAGGATGAAATTTCATCTCACATACTTTGGTTATGTTGTCAGAAGGGACTCATCCTTGAAAAAAGACATAATGTTGAAAGGTGGAGGGTCAGAGAGGAAGACCCTCAACAAGATGGTCTGACACGGTAGCTGTAGCAATGGGCTCAAGCATGTCAGAAATTGTGAGGATGGCTCAGGACAGGGCAAGGCTCAGAACTGTTGTTCATCAGGTCGCTTTGAGTCTTGAGTGACTAGTTGGCATATCCAACAAGACGGAAGCCAGACAACTATATGAGTAGCCTCTTACACCATCTCTATTTCTGACTAAAGATTTTCTCTGGGTTGGATTTCCTTAACTTGGCTTCCTCCAGAAGTTGCCTCTGAGATGAGGATGTGCATGTATAAAGTTTATCTGAGACGTGTGATTCCAAGAAACTTCAGGAAGCAAGATGTGAGACAAGGAAAGGAAGACAGCCAATAGACTTGTTCTCAAAAACTGCCATAGGATAATTGGAATGTATTCCCAATAAGGAGCCCTGAGTATCTTGTCTAGTGGAAGATGGCATTGGAATTGGAGTATTCATGTACCAGGGTTTACCTTTCAGGAGTTGCAGCAGTCATTCAGATGCTGGTCATGCTGACAGGGAATTCTGGGGGGCAGAGAAAAACCCTCACCAAAGAAATGTGAAAATCCAATTGCTGTGAGTTACCACTGACGTGAGGAAAGTGAGGGCATATGGAAGTGGCACGCGGAGCATCTGTGTGTGCCGTTCTGGTCAAACATCATTCCAAGATTTAATTAGCTTATCTGCTTCCTTTCACTTTTATTTTTCCAAACCTTCTGCTACTTTCTTCTTTGTACTGCGTCCTTTGCATTTCTTAATTTCTGATCCATTCCACTTATACCTCTCTGGGATTTGAGGTGACTGCTATATATGCTCAACCCCCACTCACATAGATTATTGCAGTAGCCTTTCAAATCTGTCTTCACCCTACCTCTCAGCAAACTATCCTGCCACACTGTTTCCAAAATATTGTTGTTGTTTTTGTTATGTGCCATTGAGTTGCTTGTGACTCATAGTGACCCTAGTACAACAGTCCTAAACTCTGCTCTATCCTATGCCAATCGCACTGCCTCTGACACACCCATCCTGATTACCTCAGAGAGTCTTTCCCTCCTGCACTGTCCCTTCACCCTCCCAAGCATGATGTCCCTCTCCAAGGACCG